TTGAAGAAAATGAGTTTTACAATATTTACTTAACTGACACATTTGACAAGAGAAATCTGAAACAGATATTAACTTAAACAGTTCTGGAAATACAACTTTTAAAGACTCAAAAGACAAATGACCAAGGCGACAATGCCATAAATAATCTTGACTCTTATAGGACTGACTCATAGACTCTGTAACATGAAGACCAGCCTTATTCTCCAGCATGTGAAGTCCATCAACCATACGTCCCCTACCAATCGTCCTCCCCGAGGCCAGATCCTGAATCACACAATGAGAAGGGAAAAAGGTCACTGAGCAGTTTAAGGAATTAGTAACACTACTAACAGAGAACAAATTAATGGGAAATTTTGGAACATGTAGGACATCAGAGAGGGTAAGGCCAAGGGGAAGAGAGATGGTTCCTTGACCAACTATGGAATTGTATGATCCATCAGCTAGTCTCACCTTGTCTCTTCCAAAAAGAAGGTGATAGGTTTGGAAGTAAGAGGACGTACCATTCATGTGTTTTGACGCTCCAGAATCAATGATCCATGGAGAGTCAAGGGTGTGAGAAGCAACATGGAAAGCTGTGGCAGTGTTACCTGATGTAGATGCAAATGAGGTTGAGGGAAGAGCATCCATCTGACGAATTGCTCTACCATAGAGCTCTAAATGGTCAAGGAAGGAATTCATAATATCCTTCCTCGGGTCAGATCCAAAGAGATGTGTCTGAGTCACAGTAGAGATGGAGGGCTGATTGTCCCGAGTAGCCATGTTGGCCATGTTGTATTTCTTTGTACCTTGCTGTCCGGACCTTTTATTCACATCTGGACCTTGCTTCTTATTCAGATCTTGAGCCCATTTTGGTTTCCCATGAAGATCCCAACAGGTATCTTTGGTGTCAGGGTTTCTGGCAATGTGTGCACCACAATTTGTCCTTATCTTCTGTTTTCTTTTGGAGATCTACTTTCCTGGAAGAAGATCCCACACTAGTAGAGCCACCCCCTTTTGCTGCCAACAAACTGCATCCCCACCAGGGCTGTTCATCAAATTCCTTATGCTCTCTTCAGATTGCACAAGAGCATAAACTTCCTAAACTGATGGAAGATCCTTAGAACTGAGAATCTGTACTCTGATAGATTCATACATAGGATTCAGACCATGTAAGAAGGCAAACACTCTTTGCTGGGAGACAAGTTTCTTGTACAGTTTTGCATCCTCATCACACTTCCAATCCACATTCTGGTAATGGTCCAACTCCTTCCAGACAGAAG